AATGTATAAAATTAAAATAATAATATCAAATAAGTCAAATATAAATAAATATTAATAATAATCTCTTTCTCTTTCATTTTGCAGACATCCGCTATTCCCGCTCTTAGCGCTCATATTCGAGAAATGCGAATTGGCCACATGTACGCCGAGAGAGCCTGGCGTGCAAGGTGGCGATGTTTGTTCGTCGGAATCGTTTAACGAGGATATTGCAATGTTCAGTAAACAGGTAAGCAAAGATACCGAAGAAGGTGAAGAAGAGGAAGAGTCGGCAGGCAACAGGCCAACAGGCTGCTATTGCCCTCTCTGTCATGCTGCTCAGTTTGGGGGTAATTGGAGCTTTGCCACATGTGCCACATGCGGCACAGCCAGCAGCTCGCGGCACACGAGTCTAACGAAGCAAGCCGTTGAATGATCGGATTTCGGCCTCTCTCTCTCTCTCTCTCTCTCTCTCTCTCTCTCTCTCTCTCTCTCCTTCTCAAGTGGCTGCAGCTAATTGCAAGTGACTCTGGCCTGCCACATGTTGCAAATATGTGCCTCCTGCCACAATTGACAGTTCCCAAAAAAATGAAGAGAAATAAAGCGAGCGAGCGAGCTTACAGTAATTCTTTGCCACGCTGACATTTCAATAATTTACGATGTTTTAACACACAAATTATAATGTTGCAAGCTGTAAGCACATCCTGGCGCATTCTCTCCCTCTCTTTCGTTTACTTCCTTTCCATCTCTATCTCTCTCTCTCTCTCGATGTCTGTCTTGCTGCCTTCTATTTATATAAACGAGATCACATTAACGACGCTCACTCAGAGGGCGAGCAAAACTTATGGCTCCATCCAGAGAGATTTTCATGTTGCGATGCAACATTTTTGGCGCGTCAAAAAACAAAAAACAAAAAAAGGCAAAGGAAAACATTTTAAAATAAAAATAAAATGAGAAATAAAATATAAGAGGAGACTCACTTTTGTTGCTGTTGCTCTTAGCCAGTTGAGTTTGATTCGCAACACAACACAAACACAAAAAAATGATGTTTTTATTTATGGCCCATTTGGAATTTTGACAGGCCTGCCATGGGTAATAAAACCAACAACAACAACACGCWCATTTATCAAGATACATTTTTGGTCCTTCGGCTGGGCGAGATTTTGATGAACTTTTGTCAAATTGACAATGAAATGCCAAAATGAAGTTAACAAATTTCTCATGGCGCGAGAGGCTGGGGCACAGGCTCTTATTATTAAATTTTAATTGGATTTATCTCGCAACTTCATAAGTCATAATTTCTAATGGTTGTCAGACATTACTTCACACTTTTGCCTAGTGAATGAGGCACAAGCAGACACACACAAACAAATAAATACATATATAACTATATATATATGTAGGATGCTACAGATATAGACAGCATCAACAACTTAGCTGTCGCTTGCATTTCATTTGATTCGATTTGAATTCATTTGGGTCTTTTCTTAGTTGGCCACTAAATTGATGCTGCCGCTGCTGCCGCTGCTGCTGCGGGGTCGTTGTTGTCTCCGTTGCCGTCTACGGCTGACAAAAATAACTCAAAAATGTCATTCGCCCATCGAATTTTAACAAACGAGCAGCAGAGCGCTCACCCAGTCGACTCACTGTCGAGTGCTGCCAACATGGGCGCTAAAAATATGTGGCGATGCTTTTTTTTTTTATCTGCTGCCCCACTGTCGATGCATTTTATATAGATAGTTTGCATCTTCTCTGCAGGCACATCAGATATATATGTATATATATATATGTGTGTGTATGTCTGTATGTGTGTCACTTCATTTTGAGTAAGCAACTGCGTAAAATGCGCCAACGCCAACGCCACAGATCGACAGCGTGAACGAGAGCAACAGATCGAGATCTCAACAATCTGAAAAGTCGGCGCACTCGGCGCATCGTTTGGCATATACTTAGTTAGGCGACTTTTGGTGTTGGCGCTGCTAATGATGCAGCTAAGGAAACGCTTTATAATTTCTCTTTAAAAGCAGCTGAAGAAAAAAAAAGAAGCATTATATAT